GCCACCGGCCTCCGCACCCCGCGGGGCGGGGGGCTGGGAACTGGAGGCTTGCTTTCGCCGGCGGTGGCTGCGTTTCCTGTCCGCCCTCCTCCCCCCGCCTCGGTGGAAAGCTTCCTCTCACCTTGGCGGAGACTCCCGGTGGCGTTCTGGGCACCCCGCGGGCTGACGCGCCACCTGCGCGCGCCACTCGTGCAAGCCGCGGGCGGGATGCCCCTAGAAAGTTCTCTCCCCTGCGTGCGCTGCTCTAGCCAACCTTACGTCGGCTCCACCTGCTTTTTTCTTTTAACCTGTCCTGCAATGGGGAGGTGGATTTCCAAACGGACAGTTCCCACGAAAACTCCAGAAAATCCGCTCTTGATTATCCACGAGTCCCTGATTCTGAAGGAGGCTTAGTAAACCAACTGATGTTTTTTGTACCCCTGTGAAATATAAATCAACGCCTTAAACTGGGAGGAAACCAGTCTTTTTGGAGAGCCAGGTGGATGGAAAGCATTGTCTTTTTAATTTAGTTGATTGTTTTCGGAAAGGCACTCCCTTGAATCAGGTCCTCTGATGGGACAGCATAGGGCTGTCTCTTTGGCTGAATGTTTTTGGGGATACTCTGGGAGATTCATAGACCTGTTTCAGTTCCAACTACCAGCTGTGTGATTTTGCCAAGTTCCTCAGACTCTCTAAACTTGGGACCCCTCACCTGTAAAATGGGAATAAAAGTTGCACCAACGTGCTGGAGAAACTGTATCATTAACTAAGATTCATTCGTGTAAAGGGGTAATTGCCATGCCAAGTATAAAACACTCAGTAAATAGCTGCTACTAAAGAGCTTTTTGTTTCTGACTGGTTTCCTGCAAGCGAATACCTACCTAGAAAAAAGTTTTATAAGTCAGCTTTGATAAGCTTCAGCTTAAAGAGCAGTTTTAATGTAAAAAAGAAAAAAAATTATGAACTCTCCTAAAGGTGAAAAACACCTAGGGATATTAAGGTATAGGAAGAAACCAAAGGCAAGCATGAATATATATATATATGTATATTTGAATAAATATGCAAGACTTAGGCATCAAATATCACCAAAACGGCAAATGACAAATTGGAGAAAATGTTTGTAACAAATGTGACAAAGTTTGATCTTACTATATAGACCTCTTGTAAATCAATATATAAAACACTAACACCTGAAATGCAGAAATGGATGAACAGGCATACAGGAAAGAAGAAATTCAAATGGATAAAGATCATTTTTTAAATGCTCATACTCACTAGCAAAGATATTAAACATGTTTTGAACACAATAGGGTATGTTCTTGTCAAGGATTTCAAAAAACAATACACAGGGTTGACAAATACACCGTGTTGTTGGGAATGTCAATTAAGACCATCTTCTGAAGGACAATATAACTCAAAAACCCTAAAAATGTATCATTGGCTCCAACTCTTCCACATCTGGAAATTCACCCTAAATAGATAGATAGATGAGCACCAGGATTTCTTTATAGGGGTTTTCATCAAATGCTTTTTTTTATTATAGTGAGCTATTAGAATAGGAGCAAGATAAATAATGATTTGGCTCTTAAAAAACATTTTTTTAAGAGAATGAAAAATGCCTTGGGAAGATGTTCACAATATATTAGATGAAAAAGGAGATTAAATTATTATTCCAATTATATATTACATTCATACACATCCACAGAAGAAACAAAGAATACCCATAAAAAGATTAACTGTGTAATCAGAGTGATAGGATACGGGACATTTCAGTTACTTTTTATTCTAGTTATGTCTGTATTTTCTAAACTTTTGATAAGAAACATACATTCCTTTCACAATCAGAATAAAAAGTGAATGTCATTTTTAAATAAACACGTGGCATATTTACTAGAATGGTTTTCTGCTGAATAACAACTTGTAGTGTTGTTTTGTTTTTGGTTTGGTTTGGTTTTTCTTCATAGCAGTGTTATTTCTTTCTCAATAATCTTTCTATTCAGGGTTCACCAAAAGAAGAAAGGCCTTTATTAGTCACTGACTTGCAGTCCTCTTTTCCTAAACGTCAGTTCTCAGTTATCCAGAGTTCTTATAGGTGAGAGGGAGGCAGAAACTTTGGGCTTTTCTCCCAGGGCTATTTTAAGAGGATACTAAACATTCATATTCTGTAATTCTTTGTGTATTATTCTCAGGAGTCTCTCGTTTTCCCAGTATCTCTGAAAAATACAAAATATGTTGCATTTGATGGTTTTGACAGTGAGTCTCTGTCTGCAGGCAGAAATGGTGTTGGTGCGCTTCGCAAAAAGCCTCCTCTGGTGGACAGCCAGGTAACAATGCATCTGGAGTTACTGCTCCCACACACTCCATCCCCAACCATGACACCATGTCATTCACTCAAAAATGGAACCATTATCAAAAGCTTACTTACTATGAGCCAGTTACCACCGTCCCACTTCCAATCTCTGAAGCTCACAGGTTGGGAACTTAAGATTTAGAGCAAGACCGTCCCACCTAGCTACAACTTTCCCGGGTATAAAATGAGCAAACGTTTTTCTCTTCTCTGACCCTTTCCAATCTTCCTCAGAGGACAAACCAATCTAATATTATCAACTTATCATTTTAACTTTCCTTTGTCTTTTTTCCCCCCCATAGGATACAAGCTTTCCCATTACAAATATATATTTATGGTGAAATGACACGTTCTCATCCTGGTCCCGGGCCTTGTTCTCCTGCCCAAGGATAAGCATTGCCTTGTTGTTCCTTCTAGAGGTGATCCATGCACTTACCAACATGAACACCCAGGACTTTTCCCCTTTTACACAAACAGTAGCATATGGGACACATCCTTGAGCACCTCGTTTTCCCCTCTTGGTTGTTTCATGGCACTGCCCACAGTGCTGCACAGTTACGCCTCGTCCCATAGTACAGATCCATCACGATGTACCTAACCAGTCTTTTGGTGGACACTGAGGTTGTTTCCAGCCTTTTGCAGCCATAATGACACAACAGTGAATATCCTGGGTGGGGGAGGGGGAGTGATACAAATTCTTCGAGCCCTCAGCTCTTCAGGGAAAGCTGGGGCATGTACTTTGAGTAGCAGTTCCTTAGGGTCTTGATGGTTTGCATTGCTCCATTTAGGACCAAAAGCAAGAAGCCTGGCTTAGTTTATAGAGACAGAAGGAAGACATCTGGGCCATAAACTTCGAGACATAATCCTTGTTTACCACTTTGGTCTTTAACCAAAAACCAAGCCAACCCCTTTAAACTCTTTCCATTTGTGTGCTCTACGGAGTCGAGAGAACATTGGCCAGAGCCTTTACAATCCTTGCTTAGAAATTCTTGAGCTATAACTCTACAGTTTAGTTTCGAGCAGGAAGAATTTAAAAAGCAGCATTTTGCAAAACAAAACATAAAACCTAGGCTATTTATAAAGCTGGCCCAGACTGCTTTTTTCAATGAAAAGAAAAAAAAGGTATGAGATCAAAAAGGTACAAAAGGAATAAGGGAAAAATAAATTTCCCTCTCACTGGGCCAGTTCACGGGTGTGTGACCAGTGCAGCCGAACAGGCTTCCGCTCAGAAGGGCCTTGTGCTTGGTGTGAACATTCCGCTGTCACCACCTCAAAATTCCTAAAAATGTTATCTTTGAACCCATGTCTTGTCCGTTCTTCTTTTTTTTTTTCAGTTGAGTCATAGTCAGTTTACAATGTTGTGTCCATCTCTGGTGTACAGCACAATGCTTCAGTCATATATGGATACGCATATATTCATTTTCGTATTCTTTTTCACCGTGAGCTACTACAAGATATTGAGTATATTTCCCTGTGCTGTACAGCATAAATTTGTTTATCTATTTTATATATACCAGTCAGCAGCTGCAAATCTCGGACTCCCAGTTTATCCCTTCCCACCCCATTCCCCTGCTGGCAACCACGAACCCGTGTCTTGTAAATGAAGTCCAGGAGGACAGAGGAGCACGCACACGAGCAGAGACGTCCGTGCACTAGGCGTGTGCTGTTCCTTGCTGCCTCATTTACATACAGTGATCTCAGCACCACAGGAGCACGGAATTCTAGTGGGGCCACCGGGCACGGGAGTTCGGTGACATTCAAGGGAAGTAGAAGATAAATGTGTTACTTCTATAACTGGGGAACCCTGGCAGGAGGAACTGACAACCCTGAGAGGCTGCATTTCCCACTTAAATTCTAGACTTGCTTTGAAAGCAGAAAGGTGTATTAGTTTCCTAAGGACTGCGTAGCAAAGTACCACACAATGGGCGCCTTAAAACAATAGAAATTTTTTCTCTCACAGTCTTGGAGGCTAGAAGTCTGAAATCCAGGGGTCAGCAGGGCTGTGTTTCCCCTGAGACTCTGGGTGGAATCCTTCCTCGCCTCTTCTTAGCTTCTGGTAGTAGCCGTCAATCCTTGGCCTTCCTTGGCTTACAGTACATCACCTGCCTTCTCTGTCCATCTTCACGGTGTTTTTATAAGGCCACTAATTAGTCGTCTAGCATTAAGGGCCCATCCCACTCCAGTATGATCTCATCTTAACTAATTCTATCTGGAATGACCTATTTCCAAATACAGTGACATAGTACATACCAGGACTTCAACATATTTGTGGGGTGCGGGGGACACAATTAAACACATAACAGAAGGCAGTAGCATTCTGGGAAATACAGACAACCAAGGAACCCTATCATATCCTTTCTCACTGGTGTTGCTTCCTTGAATTAAGCAACCACATATTATGACAAAGAAGGAAAGTAAAAGATGGGGCCACCCATCATTCCTTTTCTTTCTCCTCTTCCTTACTCCTGAGTGAGCTGGAGCTGGAGAGTATTGGTGAGATGTGCAGATCTCAAAAAGTTCATTGCACCATTATTCACAATAGCTAAGACATGAAAACAAGCTAAGTGTCCCTTGATGAATGGACGGATAAATGAATTGTAATACGTATATATACACACACATATATACATACACACACAATGGACTATTATTCACCCTTCCAGCCTTAAAAAAGAAGGAAATCCTGCCATTTGTGACAGCATGGGTGAAGCTGGAGGGCATTATGTCAAGTGAAATAAGCCAGACATAGAAAGGCAAATACTGCACAGTATCGCTTACACATGGAAGCTACAAAAGTTGAAATTCCTAGAAGCAGACAGTAGAACAGAACAGTGGTTACCAGGGGTAGGGAAGTGGGA